GCACCACCTAATCCTTTTAAGAATATAGTCAGTTGTAAATAGGTTTTTAAGGTCAAGGAAAAATCCTATGGAACTATCAAACACTTCGAAGCTCACCTCGTTGCACAGGGATTTAAGCAGTAGGCCAGATTGGATTATGACAAGATCTTTAGCCCAATTATTAAACTCACTACAATTCGGGTTATTCTCTCTATTGCAATTTCTTCCAGATTGATCATACATCAACTGGATGTTAAAAATGTCTTCTTGCACGACATCCTCCATGAGGAAGTTCACATATGCCAACCTCCTAATTTCTCTCATTCAGAGTTCCCAAATCACGTGTCATCTCTAAAAAGCCATCTATGGTCTAAAATAGGCTCTATGTGCATGGTTTCATCGCTTCGACAACTTCTTGGGGCCGTCTATATTTACTACTATATGTTGATGATATTTTTTGTCACTAGTGATACTCTTCATTTATTAGGGTCATTGTCACGCCACGAACCCGAACGAGCGCGCGATCATCCCTTTGTGGTCGTAATGTACGCGACATCCCAGGACTTGTCGCCGACCCAATCAAAACACTAACGAGCAACGCATGCGGAAGCAACCTCGAACTCTCCAAACAACATATAAACAACGGGATAGTAGAGAGACAAAGAATACACATTAACAAGACACTTTTATAAACATAACATCGATTACAACACATACATTTGCAAGCCATCTACGAGGCCACTATCTACGAACCACGCACAACAACAAGGAATCGGGTGGTTGGTAAGCTTAACTCCTCTACCAAAAGGGGCACTCAAAAGATGAGCTAACTCGACCTATCCTCAATCCCCGTAGTATTCTGGCAGCGTCTCCGGATCAATCACGGTCGCGGGTCTGAAATGATTTGGTTATACAACCATGAGAACACTTCTCAATAAGCAACTACCTAAGCCTCGCTTAGGCCAAAGCGTACTTCCGAACAATTCTAAACATGCGATTCAAACAATCGACGTGCCATAAACAATCACAGTCGTCCTTACCTCGCCTTGGCACATACACAAGCCCTGCACATTAGAATATCGCCATAACACGGCCAATTGCTCATCAAGCTTGTACAATGCAATTCAAGGCGTAATCATGCATAACACGGTTAATAACCCAGACGTGCTCAACATTAAATTCAATCATGGCATTCTCCAATGCATAGCACACGTTTATAAATGTCCAGATTATTAACGACCCCTCGGGCCACCGAACTCCCGCGGTCTTCCGGCGTAACCGGCATCGTCCCGCTACGTCGGCGACGGCAACGTTGGGGATCGAACACCCCCCGGCAAGCCGGGTACCCAACGGCATTCCACTTAGGAGCATCGATCCGGCCTCCACCGCGATCGGCATCGTCTGGGATCGAACACCCCCCGGCAAGCCGGGTACCAGACGGCAACGTTGGGGATCGAACACCCCCCGGCAAGCCGGGTACCCAACGGCATCGTCTAGAACTCCCGCCTAGACGGAACGTGTCGTGACCATGCACACACCTCAGCAATCATTATCAATTCTTATCTTTGTAAATTAGCCCAATGTCAACTAAATCCGTCAAACGCCACGATAACATCGAATAGTCCCCGAGAGAGAGAAAACCGGAATTGCACACATTCGGGCTATTCTGGGCAGTTTGCGCAACAACCGAAATCTCTTTGAAATAAATAGTAATTCAACTCTAAAAATTCTGAAATTTGTATATGTTATACAAAACATCTTGATGAACATTTTTCATGAAGAACACAAAATCCATTTCTGTCTAGAACCACCTCTTTTTGTCATCCAAAATCGGACATAAAACATTTCATTCGGACTGGCCATCCGGCTTCCAAAATGCATTTCAAGTAGTAACCAAATCTCCTTAGAACGATTTGAAATTTTTATATGTCATAGCCAAAAATGTCTCCAACAAGTTTTGTGAAGGAAGTATTTTGAAACTAGGTCTAGAAAAATTTATAAAAATTCGAACAGACCCGAAGGTCGGAGGAACAGTATTTCCGGCAGACTTATTTCGGTCAAAAGATGGACTTACGAATGGAACTAAATGATCTCCAAAAATTCCAGATTTAATATATGACAAACTTCAAGATGTTATGAACAACTTTCATGAAGAACACTTCCTCAAATTAGGCCCACACAAGTTACAGTAAAAATAACAAAATCCAGCGATACAGCAGCAACCTTACCGAAAATTAACCAACAAGCAAACCAAGCACAACCAGCCACTAAACCAACTATCCACGGTCCTTAAACCATCTCTAACATGTCCATTAGTCACCCCTTAGCCTAGTCAAGGGTTAGGAAGCCACTTACTAGGAATCCTAAGCAAGCAAACCAAGAAGAAGAGGCAAGAGCAACTCCGGCGGTGAGCCGAGCTCACGCAGCCGGACGGGCGAGCGCCTGGCACTCACGGTGGCTGAGGGTGGCTGAGCAAGGGAGCTGGTCGGTCGGTGAGCGGCAGCAAGAAAAAGCAAGAAGCAAAGAAGCAAAATGAAGAAGCAAACAGCAGCAACAGAAGTGAAGAAGAAGCAGCGAGAGAAGAAGAAGAAGCGGCAGCAAAAATGATGGACAGAAGCAGCACGTGAAGCAGCATGGGGCAGCATGGGTCAATGGTCAGCAAAGCCCACGTGAAGGTGCAGCAAGAAGTCAGCAGCAAGTCAGCAGAAACAGAGGCAGAAACAATCAGCAAGTGCAGAAATGGCATGAGCAGTAGAAGTAATCATGCAGAGGAAGAAGCAGCACGTGAGGGTCAGCAAGCGTGGGGTGTTCGGCGGGAAAGGAGGAGAGGAGAGAGAGAGAGAGAGAGAGGGAGAGAGAGAGAGTCAACGGCAATTATCGCGATCCGACGATCCACGTTCGAACCCGAAAACGATCTGACGGCTCACTAAAAATTCTAATTATAAACTAAGGAAAAACCAACGGATACTAAATAAAATAAACCTAGAGGGAGGTTTACCGGTCAAAATCCACACCCGGTCCAAATTTTCACTTTCCTACTAATCTAGGCAAACTCGAGGCTGGCCACAATAATATCGACACCGTCCAATTTAATTCGTCACGAAACTCCAAAAATTCGACACCAAAGTTCGAGCTCTAAATAACGGCCTAATTTGATCGAATGCGATTATAGCGAAATCTCAATTTAAAAACGATAACCGAGAGTGATCAGTTCCCGGGCGAGATTTTACTATAAGCACACTGACGAATTACACGTTTTATAAATTCCAAAAATTGGTCGAAATTCGGAATGTCACAGTCATTAATCACTCAATTCTCACAAGAATTTGCTATCAGGGATATGGATCCACTTCACTATTGTCTTGGCATTAAGGCTCATCATCACTATGGCGATACACTTATATCTCAAGTCGAGTATGTTGATGGCCTTTTACGCTAGTTTGACATCATTAAAGTTAAGCCTGTGTATACTCCTTTGGCCTCAAAGACTTTGTTGTTTGGTAACGATGATGAGCTTCTCGCTTCTCCAACGCTATATCGACAAATGGATGGTGCCCTACAGTATGTGTCCTTGACTAGACTCGATATTAGTTTTGCTGTGAACTTGGTTAGTCAATTCAAGTATCCACCCAAATTACCTTATCTCTAGGCTGTTAAGCGTATATATAGGTATTTAGTTGGCACATCCACCTATATATTGCTCATCGAGCAGTGTTCTCCCACTTCATTGACTTCTTATGTGGATGCAGACTAGGCTGGATGCTTCGATACTCGACAATCCATGTCGGGTTTTTTTGTTTTTCTGAGCACCAATATTGTTTCATGTAGTGCCAAGAAGCAGCACACTGTAGCCCGTTTTAGTATAGATACTGAGTATCGTGTTGTTGCTGACTGTGTCGCTCATACTATTTAGATTCGTCATTTACTTTGTGAGCTCGGGGTCCTTGTTTTTTATCCTCTCACCCTTTATTGTGACAACATCTTTGCCGCTTATCTTGCTCTCAACCTCATGTTTCCTGCTCGCATCAAACACATCAATCTTCACTTTGTTTGAGAGAGGTTGCTTCCAGCGATTTACGAGTTCGTTATGTGCCTACGACAAATCAGCTGGTAGACATCTTTGCCAAGGGACTATCTAATCGACGACACACGCTATTGAGATTCAATTTTAGTTGTTACATTTACTTCGGATTGAGAGGGAGTGTTAATATATAACTTATGCACATTATGGGATCTTTATGTAATTATGTTTATATATGTACCCTTATCATAATTAATCGCTTTCATAAATACATACCATACAACCCTAATTGGGGTTAAGCGATCGCAAACACTCTAAAGTCATTGTTTCTGCCTCCTTCGTTGTTCTCTATGTCTCTTTCGCTATTCACTGTGACTATAAACTTCCACAATAATTACTTTGTATCGTGCATTAATTCATCTAGTCATATGGCATTCGATTCATTTTGTCTCCTGCCGCTCATATGGACAGCCAGTTAATTGCTACAAGCAAAAACTATCCATATTAAGGATGATAGACGTGCGACGTGTGAAAACCTAAATTCAATATTTATTCAAGAACAATTGTTTAAAGTTTCTATCGAGAACTTTATCCATCGAATCGCATCGATTCCACGTTGCCTCATTTAACTTGAAGACGTCATGTTCCTTTATATATCCGGTCACCGGTCGAGCAATCTGATTATGTTGATAGATAGACTCAGGCAATGGGTCCGATTCCCTACCTCTTTTAATGTGAATTTTTAGGCTATGAATGGGCGTGGGCACCACATTAAGCCCGACGTTCAAGCTTGATTCAATACATCCACTTCCCTTCTCTCTCATCTGATTCGCACCTAAGTAGCAGTAGTGTTTCATTGAACCGGGTCCATTTAACGGTCCATCGATGATTGAACCGCGGTAAACGCCGGTTCAGTTGAACCGCTCTGGCGATAAAACAGGGTGCACGTGCTTCCCCCTTCGTCTTCCTTGTAGTCGTAGGTTCAGCTTCAAGAGAGTACGAGCGTCATCGTCGAGGTACAGAGGAAAAAACAAAGCCCTAATTGCCTGCGCTCTTCTGCATTTTCTTGCCTGAATTGGTTCTTGGCTTTAGCTTTCTCTTTCGATTGATTGGTTTTTATGTCTCAGCGGCCTGTAGTTTCGCCGGATTGAGCTCTCAAATGTCGGGATTTGTGCTTTGGCATGTCTGGTGGTTGTGCTGAGCTGGGCGGAGTGTCTTAGGTTCTGGTTTTACTGCCCAAAGATTTTCGCGGCGTTGCATGAAGGAATGTTGCCTTGAGACATTTGTTTCAAGTGAAAAGTTTTCATTTTTTGCTTTGTCGGGATTGAAGTGTGGCGTGGTGTATGAAGCTGGAGTTTTCATGGCGTTGCCCAGGAAAGGTAAAGCATATCTTTCGACTTTAGTCCAATTGTTTATGGAATGATTATGAATTTGCGGTGTTGAAGGAAGGACTGGCATGTTGAGTTTTCATTGCAAGTGTTATGAACTGAAGCAGGAAAATTGGATGACCCCATTTTGCAGTGAATGTTGACCTGCTGATTCTTTTGCTAAATGGGTTGTATCTTCAGTTTGCTTTCGTGTTTCTTGACTCTTTTTTTCCCCTTTCTATCTCAGTTTTGCTGAAGAAGGTGAGCAAGTTTGAGTCCAAAGAGCTGGAGAAGTATAAAATCGATCCGTTACATCTTCCAGATTTTGATAAGCTCCTTGACGATGTTTACATGGCACGGCGCCCTACACCGACTGAGTGTTTCAATAGAACAGATTTAATTCGCGTCTTCAATGCTATAGCGAAGGAGATATATGGTAAATTCTCTCCCGATTGGATGTGAATATGCATGAATTTAAAATTTAGATATTTAATTGTTGAATATCTTTTGAAGCATACCTTCTCTTCTTATTCTTCTTTCCTACTACAAAAATGTGGTTTCTTTAATTATTTGCTGATTCGAGGATGAAGGATGAATTGACTCTTGTTGCTGCATTGTTGTTTATACGTCAAATTGATGAATTTTATATCAACGCAAGAGAATGCGCTAATTTGTGCACTTGTGCAATAGGGAATAATCTGTTTTACGATGTATAATTGTTTCAGGAAACTCAAGTGAATGCCCCACTGTGGTGGGATTTGGCTCGTTTGTGATGGATATGTATAACACAGGAAGCGATCTTGACTTGTCCATCAACTTTGGAAATCCTTCTGTTCAGTTTCCTCGGGAAAAGAAGATACAAACTCTTAGAAAGTTTGCTAAAAAGTTCTATTCTCTTCAAAGTATTCTCGCTAGCGTCCCTACTTCTTCATTCTTAAAGTTGTTGCTGTAGTTGTAATTCTAATCTTCAAGGTATCTTTGCTGTTAGTTTCTACCTTTGATTGGATGGAATTCACAGTTAGATATCCAAAATAAAAAGTGCCATTATTTAAACTTATGGTTCAAATAAAAAGTACTAGTGTTCTAAAAGCAAATTATTACCAATAGAAAATGCTGGACAACATCACCTTTCTAATAAGAGAGAACGCTGTTTGTCATTGTCATTATTTGTTCGAGATGAGATACTGTATGTGTTTTGAAGGCTTGAGATCTTTGCCTTTTTATCTTATTTTGCTAGGGAGTAGTAGATACTCTGTATTAAATTTGATGATGTTGTCCAATGCAATTATAATTTGGGAAATTTTGTTGAAATTATCATTGATGGTGACTTTATATGGTATTTAAATGTTGCAGGGAAGGGGCATGTTACCAGCATCCAGACTATCATGAGTGCGAGGGTGCCAATTGTGAAAGTTATTGATTATGGGACAAGAATAGAATGTGATCTTTCAGTTGAGAATTGGGATGGCATTCTGAAGTCGCAGCTTGTCCATGTTATTTCTGCAATTGATGACAGGTTTCAGAAGCTAAGTTTTCTGGTAATATGTTAAACTTGTCATTTTGGAATTTCGGTTTGATTTTTCAGTAAAAACGACCTATAATAGGCTTCTAATTTCACCTTAGTGTCCTTTCTGGCAATCAAGTATGTCTGTGCTCTGTTTGTGTTCCTTACCATTGTTATTGTGTAGAAAAATTGAACCACTTGCTTTCCACTCTCTTTTCCAATTTCTCTTTAAATTTTCAAGTGCTACCTTCACAATCGTTGACCTTGATTATGCTAGTAAAGAATGGAAACTCATTGTGATTTCCCAGAAATCTGAGCATGAGAATATCTTAGAGCCTGTTTTCTCTGGATGGTAGCCTTTTGTGCTCTACTTCTACTTTTCACTTCTGTCTTTTCCTTCGACGTTCTTTTGTAGCATATAAAGCTAGTCAAAAGCCAAAATGTAAAAGCCAGAGGCAGAGAGATACTTCCCTTGAGCTTTGCATTTTTGTGGCTTTAGTGGGAAAATAAGAACGATGCCATCCATAATTGTCCTTTTGAAGTAAGTGATTATGACATATTTTTGTCTATGCTTTTACCGTTTCTTAAGAAAAACCACGTAACGAAATTCTTAGTAGTTGTAATCTCAAACACTTCATTGAATATAAAAGTGATAGTTAAAGCTAAAAGTCAAAAGTGAAAAAGTCACAGTAAAAAGAAAAAATAAGAGCGAAAAGCCAAAAGGTTACAAAGCCAAAAAATTAAGCCATCTCAAACCAGCTCTTAGATTGACAATGAGACTTGGAAGTGTCACTGAAATGTGTTGCTGTTTCATTTTATTCCTTGGGCTGTGGAGAATATGATTGATATTGCAGTTGTGTAACAAAATGATAGAATGGATGTCTTATCTTCTGACCGAAAATATTCACTCTCTGTTTCTGTAATGTTTTGAAATTTGGGAGGATAAAAACAAATTAAACCATGTAAGGATAAATTCAATTGTGTTTCCAGTGTTCTGGGGTTTAAAAATTGGGAAGAACTCTTTTCTACATCTGTGATTTCAATGGGTGCTTATGGATGCTGACAACTATTATCATAGTATTTGCTGTATTCTCATACCTTTTCTTTATTAATGATTGATTTGCTACTGTTTGGTGGATTTCATTTATACTTTTCTGATGTTTACTTCTGCATTTATTGGCAAAAATAAGTGATGAATTAGATCTCTTTCCTGTAATGCAGATGAAATCTTGGGCTAAAGCAAATGGTATTAACAGTTCCAAGGATCGAACTCTAAATTCTCTGTCCATAATATCATTAGTTGCCTTTCACTTGCAGGTAAAACTTGGGTTGTATGCTGAAACAAGTTTCTATATGTTAATTACTCTTAATTCCAGTGTTATGTTTCAGCTACCGTTAATCCATAAAACGTTTTAGACCTATGCAAAGAATGTATTTCAAAGATTTTAGGACGGTCTTTGAATGTTGGACTTTATTATTTTTTTTCAGCCAAATATTTATGTAATATTTTTGTCATGCAGACTCGCCAACCTCCTATATTACCTCCATTTTCTGTGCTCTTTAAAGGTAGCAATTTCTCACAGGTCATTAAAAAGCAATAGTGTGTATGACACATGATACTTAATGTCTATGTAATAGTATACAAATATGCTACTTATTTAGCGATGGACTTTTCTTTTTAACACCTGCGAAAGCCCTTAACTTGAAGAACTTTAAAGCACCTTGTATGTATTAGATAGTACCTTACAGCCAGGTGTCTTCAATTGTAAAACCTTTAATTACATAATTAAACGGACCTAAGCAGCATAGTCTATTAAGCGTTGAGCATCCAGTTTCAATGTCAGTACCACATTGAAGTCTCTTTGGGTTCTTGCAGACGGAACTGATCCTGCAAATGTGAGGAAGAATGTTGATTCTTTTCTGAACTATGGAAAAGCAAATGAAGAATCATTGGCTCTACTCTTCGTGGCCCTCCTGATAAAGGTAATTTGATCTGTTACCTGCCAGCTGCTGGTTTAAAGCCCCTAAACTTGACCTTTTAAGTGCATTGCTACCAATTATCATTTAATGACAATTGTAGTAGCTTGTGGTGGTATTTTTTATTTTTTGGGTAAGTCCAGATTTGATTCTCTAACTTTTTCCATGTCTTCAATTTGGATATCCAACTTATGAGGATGAAGAAATTAATGATACGGGTTTAAAATGATGAAGTGACATCACCGATGTGGCAAATGTTGACACATGGCATTGGTGTGGTGCCTAGTTGGCACTCATTAGCGAACCACAAGAAAATAATAAAAAGTAGAAAGTGTGGAGAGAGAGAGAGAGAGTGATGGTCACGACAACCCCTGACGAGGGCTGGTGAACCTTGTACAGACTCAGATTATCATCTCTATGACAGGCAAGGATCTCCGGTGACCTGTCTCTCTCTCTCTCTCTGCTTATTTCTTGTGGCTTCTTGAACTAGGCAGCACATGTGTGTCACATGTCAAAGTTTGCGACATTAGTAATGTCACCTCAGCATTTTGTTGTGTCAGTAAAGGCACATGATGAAATGACTCGATTTCACAGAAAGTAGAAAACGAGCTTGAAAAAATGTACAAGTTGGAGAAACAAATCTGGACTTCAACTCTATTTTTCCGTTGCAGCTAGCTTCAGTGGAGAAACTTTGGCAGAAAGGCCTTTGTGCCAGCGTGTTTGAAGGATCGTGGATCTCAAAAACATGGGATTCTCGTTGTGGCCCGATAAGTGTATTCCAACTTTCTTGAACTTATTAAATTGACATTTGTAGGCGTGCCTATCTATAGATGTTTCTTAATAGTTCTTTTATAGGTCGAGGATTTCACAGAAAGGTCTGAAAATGTTTCAAGGGCAGTAGGAGTGGAAGAAGTCAAGAAAATTTATGACTGCATCCATCGTTCAATTATTGGCCTCCTTTTCTTTTTGGATGGGAAGATGCCAGCGGCGGAGCTAAAAGAATTATTATTTGGTTCAGTTGATGTGCCTACTCTAAAGAGTGCAGATAAAAATGAAGCCACAACATCGAATTCTCCAACTGTCCATTACCCTGATCAAATTAAGAAGATGCGATTTAGTCGTAATTCTGAGGAAACACGTGTTAAGAATCAACAACAAGGACAACAAACGACCCGAGAATGGGATGCTTGGCATTGTATGAACAACCGAAGAACGCAAGTTAATGGTTGGGGATGGAGTGGACCGGTGAATGGCCAGAGTTTGCAAAATGTGGCACCTCAGCCAGTTTCTGATCAACATCCGGTTGATTCAAATTGGGATAGTAAGATCACTCCTTGCATTTCTCCTCCCGTGCTGCACCCTGCAGCAGTTGCGGAGCGGTGTAATCGAGCATTACCACAACCTGTTGTTTCTACTTATAATTCCCTCAGTTATGATGCATCTCGAGCTCAACCACATTCTTCCAATGTCTTGCCTTGGCCGAGCACAGGTACTCTGCACTCGGGCCAGCCACAACCTATACGCAGGTAGCATCATGTGCTGCTTCACACCCATTTCAGGTGATTGTAAGTCTAGCTTGCTCTGTTGAGTATGTTGTATCCTGTCAAATTGCTGCCATTCATTGATAGTTGGCAAGAAAGCTTTGTAAAGGCAACCTGTACAGTACAAAGTGACAATTCTGGCTAGCCTTCTTTTTCCAGCTTAACTGCTGGATAATTGAGCGGGACGATTTCATGTCACCCAGATATTTATAGGTACCTCAGGAACATCACATCATATCTTTAGTCCACCTCTCTCAATTGCCAACTGGTAAGTAATGTGAATCAGATTATCCATCACTTGATAATTGGGGTAGGTGGACCGCTTAGGGTAGTGACATGCTTTTGCTGTATATCGAATAACATTTCATAGGTTGATTTTCTTGCTTTGTATATATTGGAAGAAACGTTGTTAATAAAAGCATTTGGTTCGTCAGAAAGAAGAATTGTTGTATGTGCTCTTACTCTTGTGATCCGTCATGTACTTTTTGTGGTTATTGCTTAAGTGCAGCAAGGTATTTTGGCTGCCATTTTTTACAGTCCCGGTTGTTGGTCAGTTTGTCTTCTGAAGTTTGAATTTTCGTTGATGGCAAAAACAATCAAGGTTAGTAGCATTATTCAGTGTGGTATGATTTTTTTGTCTATTGAATTGAATGTGTTGCGACATCCTTACTTTTTATTGTAGAACTAACTGTACTTCATGACTTATCATTCATTGCAATCTGCTTCATTTCTGCGAGAGATGTGCATACAGTAAGTTTGTTATTAAGTACTTGCCCGCGGGTGAAAAATAGACCGATTTCAAACACGCTTGAAGTTCCGCCAAAACATGTAAAGTTGGTTCTTCGTTATCACTGGAGTTTGCATTCGAATATTTGATGGGAATGTTAAACTGTAGTTGTTTTTTTCGATTCGATCAAATACCGATAATCATTTCTCGCTAAACCTTAGCTGAAGTAGATCTTTAATGTCTATCTTTCGCCGGATTACTTTTCGTGACAACCATTTCGTTTTTTCATTTCTTGAAGAAACGGGGGTCTGGCGTTACACTAGTAGTCAATCGGTTCCTTCATTTAGACCTTGCGACTTTCCCAATTTCTGCGGATTAGCGTGGGGTTGGTAGTGGGTCGAGGCCACCGCCAGCCCCATTTCATTGCCGATCAAAAATCTCTCTCTCTCTCTTTGCTAACACAACATGAATAAGGCGCTCCCCTCGGTGCTATATGTCAAAATAGACATGATTCGGTCATCAAGTTTGTGCCATTGAGTCATAAAACCCTTGATCATCTGTAAAGTCAATCGAAGGAGGCATGTACAGGAGGCATAACAATCCAAACTTGGCAATGGCAATTGGCATGCACTTGTAGCTACTTGAAATACGTATTCTGCCTACTGGGACAATCATCTGGAGAGAAGAAGATAAGCAATGCATCCTGGAAAGGAGAACAACTACGGAAACATGTCTGGACTTGCTCTTTTCATTTTGGGTTCTAAGAACTTTGTAAGAGCGACATGTAAAATCCCACATCCAGTAATTAACTCTAATCCTCAAGTTTGAACTCGTGAACAAACAAGTAGAGAATGCTGTGAATTAAAATGGTGGGACTAATGTCTTTGAACTACGAACCAATCAAGAGAGCAAGAACGAATGAGCCAGGTTTGACCCATCCCTGAGCTCTGCCGATCTCAAGAAGGGGAAGCACTGGATCTGAAACATGGCTGGACGACTTGGACCTTGAGCTTTGAATAGCACTGGCTTTGATGGAGAGAAATTTTCCCCCCTCTTTCTCTGGTTTACACGTGCTTTCAATCAATTTCCTCTGGCCCCGACCCATGCATGCATAGGTCAGCTTCAACAACAGTGTTGCATCGTTACAGTATTCATGTGGTGGGCCTGGGAATGAGAGGACATTTAATTCCCATTGGCGTAGATGCTTTCAAGTGTTATGGACACTTGGATTGTTGTTATGCGTTGCATCTTCTACCAATGCGTCCTCTACTGCATTTTTGGAGCAAAACATCTTGAATTTGTGTATCTGAAGTCGACTGCTAATTCTCAAGACCGGACATCTTTGGCTGCACCCTTGGAGAATCGCTTCTATTCGTTTCGTTTTCTTTCCAGTTATTCGACTTGTTTAGAGATATGGGTTGCGCGCACCGTGAAGTCAACTCGAGATAGGTTGAGTTTTCAAAACGGAGTAGTCCTCTAATATGTTATTAGAGTACCGATCAAGATTGCTCTCATAATGGGTATTCCGTATGTTTTTGTCTTACATGCCTCGCGGTGCGATTAGGTCGAAAAGATATATTTCACATTTAATGCCAAGCTCTACACACGGGGGAGAGTGTTAAGTGATATGCTCAGTATACCCGTGATCTTGTGAGACTACTTCCGTAAGTATTTGTCTAGAAGACGGAGCTCAATGAAATCAAGATCAGGGTAGGACTTAAAATTTCTAGCGTTTGAGCTGGATTGAAACAACATAAATTGAGCGAGCGAATTAACTCATTTCACTTACTATATATTGCATAAGGGTGTAGGGAACTGAATTAATCATTAGTTTTTTTTTTTAAATTAACTTGAATCATCTGGTAATGAGTTTAGATACCTTTGATCTCTAAACAAGACTTGGTTTTTGAAGATTGCCCAAGATGGATGTCTCCCATATGGTGTATTGATACGAAACAGATTATGAGTGTGGGGGCTATGCATGAACGTCAATCGAAGAAGTTATTGGGACATGGCAATGAGAGAATCCTCACAAAATGTGGTGGAGCCCTGTTCCTATTGCCAGCTTTTTGGACCTACCATGAATCATTCGACCATCTTATTAGGTAATGGACGATTGAGATCACTTGAATACATATATAATACAATAAAAATTAGAATGTTCCATACCACTCTCCATATAGCTTAATGAAGTCATGAAAACATATGCTTTAATTTTTCCAAGGTGTTTCGAGATCCCATATACATACACAACACCCCCACAACCGCAATGCTAAAAGTTGCATTTCGAAAGCAACTACCCCGACCACATTTCGAGTCGACGCACCTTTCAAGCGTCTCCCACATAAGAAAAAGCACGTAGTCATGGTCTAATATAGATGTCCACAGTCAATGCCAGTAGCCAAATGACGAACACCGTATCATCTTCTGACGACAAAAGTAACAGATGTAGTAATATCACGTCCGACCGCTATTTGTCCCCGCTTCAACTATCACAGTACTCATGCGTAGGTAAATTTATCAAATGCACTTAAAACCATAAGCACACAATTTACAAAAGCCCTAATCACCAACCGCTTGTGCAGGCCCCGTCAATTCCTTTGAGTTTCATTCTTGTGAACGTACTCCCCAGGCGAGATACTTAACGCGTTAGCTTCAGCACTACACGAGGTCGATACGCACAACGTCTAGTATCCATCGTTTACAACTAGGACTACTGGGGTATTTAATCCCATTCGCTTCCCTAGCGACACCACCCACATAATTTAAAGAACCTAATGGACCATGAGTCATATATTCCGCGGAACGCCGTTCTTACCAAGGCTATATGTCTTTTTTCAGCCTGCTCAAGTTCAGTCCATTTGGAGCTCCCGGAGGTTCTAACCAGGGAGGAAGACCTTTTCAACCTCCCACGGTAAAAAACAAAAAAAGAAACACATCGAAACAGGCCCCGAGAAATCCGCAATATATCGCGCTCCCCCTCCTTTCTCTCACCAAACTCCACATCATTACGGGATAATTGCAAAAGCTCCCTCTCAGACCAGCGGGGGCCCCACGCCGGACTGGCCGGGCCCACCTGCGCTCCCAGCTCAGCAACGCACGTGCGCCTGTCCCCCCCACCATCTCGCCACCGCTCGCTCGTACGCCCTAAATTTAATGCGATCACGTGGCCGCGGGAGGGCGGGGCGCGGTACGACCCGAGGCCCGCGGAATCCGAGCCGTCCGTTGCGGTTTGACCCCCCCCCCCCCCCCCCCGCGCGGCCCCTCGACATGTCCACGTCACCGGGGCTGGCCGATCCTCGTTAATCGGGGCGGGTCTCGGTTCCCGGTCCTGCGCTCCCGCTGACACCGACACGTCCTGTTCCGAGGCTGGTGGGGGTGTGGGGGGGGGGGGGGGGGGGGAGGGCTCCGGCCGTCGGATCGGCGAGGTGGACGGCGGAGATGCTGCGGGGGATCGCCTTGAAACGCCGTCTTTGGCATGACGTGTTTCGCGGAAGCCACTGTTCGGAGTCGCACGAAAAATGCTATAAATGGACGGTGGGGATGGGGTCCTAGACAGAGAAGTTTCGATGCATCCCCGTCTTTATTTCGATTCTATTTATATGGAGTTAAGAAGTGGGGTGGTCCTAGACAAAATCGTTTCTTCTTTGGCCGGTTAAAATCAAAGGTAAGTCTACAGTTAAGAAGTGGCACTATGTTAATTTCAGCTTTTATGATGGCGAGATGCTTAGAAGAACCAACAATTGAAGTATCTTCCGGACTACTCTATCAAATCGATCCTTTTGAAAGTAATTCCTTAACATCATATTTTTTCTTTCAAAAAAAAAAAAAGTTGGTGGTGGGTTAGAAGACGTACCGTGCTACTAGACCAACACAATCTTAGTAAATATTATACGAGGTCATCGAATGCCCTAGATTAGCTTGCACGTGATTGTGCTAGCCATTAACAGCTTTCAGCACTACATTTACACCTATTGAACTTCAATCTAACATATATAATAATGTATCGTAGATCCCACAGTGTCTTACTTCGTTCATTCAAACAACCATACACACGATGAGAAAAGTTAATATTCTTGTAAACAAATGTTAAAATTTCGCTATTTGGTCAATCTTTATCGAACCTTCCAAAAGATTGATTAGGTTTTGGGAGTGGTATCAGTACGCGAACAAGATTTTTTAAGTGTTTTCTTAGACAGTTTCGGTACTTTGATTAGCTCTGATTAACGTTGTTGGTGTTTTCTCTCCTCATATATAGCTGTAGATATATCATAGGTACTAGGTAGTGTCAAATACAACATGCATTTTGTTTATGTATAATTCTTTATTCCGTATTCCCATTTGCCTATCCTCGAATGTATTCTTTTCCACTTTCCTTTTCTTATATTTCGAACAATGAAACCTTCAATATTGGGAATCGGTACTTTTCTTCTTTCTCCATTTTCTGATTAACAGTATCAACTATGTAGGTCAATCGTGGAAATAATTACTGTTTGTGTGTGAAGAAAGTAACATTAGCATGGTTACTAAACTTGAAGGCCATCTACATATCTCATCTTCACTGGACACAAAAATTCATGGCTAGTCTTAGTGACGATAATCAACCAAAAACCTCTACTCCCCTATCTACTCCAGGAAAGAGCAACAGGGATTCTCTATAAAAAAGAAAAAAATGTACCTGTATTTTTGTCATCGGAATGTCTGTCAAGAAATTAACTCAAAGAAGAGTCGTGGGCCGTGGCGACAATAAACGAGCAGCCAGAGAAACCACCTGTCGTCATTTTCATGGCAAATTCCTCTATCAGAATATCTATTTGGTTTAGCAATTTCGAGCGAAAGGAAGGAAGAAAAATATAATGGTCTATCAAATATTTTGGAAATTAAACTCAGTGGGGGACCGTGCGTTGGTATTGGACCGTACAGGGGGACTTAGAAAGTAGGGCCTGGCAAAGGCTAAAAATAATAAGGTAATGATGAAAGAATCGCATTGAAGAAGGTCTTGTCTTGTGTCAAGTGTAAAAAAAAAAAAAAAAAAAAAACTGCAAGATTTTTCGAAAGCAGAATGCTGAATTTGTCTTGCTATGCGTGGAGGGGTTTCTGACCGGTGGGATTGCAATGAAAAGCATACAATATGTGCAACCACGACTGGTGGCAGCAGGTAACAGGTTGGGTTGCTGACCGGCAGCAATAGGTATTTTCATGGGCCAGAGAAGACAAGGGAAGAGGAGGAAGAAATTAGTAAACTTGAATAAATGGGTGTGACTGACTGACTGACCCCATTACCTAGGAAATGAAAGACGAGATGGTGAAGGCTATCAGGTTGATGGTGGGGTTGGGTTAGGGTTTTAGGGTTTGTCTTAGCCTTTAACAAATTGCCTTTTCTAATAAGCTAATTTAGCAACTTCTCTTTATAAAGAGATCCCCCCCCCCGCACACCCATTTGTGTCTCATGGTCATTATGCGTGCTCTCTCTCTCTCTCTCTCTCTCTCTCTCTCTCTCTCTCTCTCATATGAGCATGAGAGCTGTGGCTTGCTAGGGTTTCACAGAGAAGAATTGAATTGGCTTTTGTGGGGAATGTTGGCTGGCTCGAGGCTTTCATACATGCTAACCTAAGGGAAAGGGGAAAACAAAGAGTATGTAAGGCTTCGGACCAGGCTTCATTCCCCTCAAAAACTCATGGTGAACCAGGTGGTGATGATGGTGGTGGTGAGTTTTCTTTTGTGAGGTTTGGCTTGTATATTTTAATTTTTCTTGTGAGATCTCATGGAGGGAGGTCCAGACAACCCTAAACTTCTCTCTCTCTCTCTCTCAAGATGAGGGGGCTGGATCTGCATGGTGAGAGATTTCATGTGGGTATAGTTTATTTTGTTAATTTTCTTATGTGTAAGTTATCCGTTGACCATCAACTAAAAACTGTGTACCAGTTCCACTTCAAGTCCAAGATGTATATAGTTTAAGTTAATTAGGGTTGATTATTCGTTTTTTGACCTACTTGTTAAGGTTCATATTCATTAATTGATGTCTTTTCATGTTTGGCTAAATGAAATAATTTCTCGTCTCCCTTTGTTTGGAAGGCTCTGCTTTATCTCTGGATTTATGGGTGCAACCTCCCAACATTTGGACTGCAAAATTATGCATTAGTGAGGACTTGTATTATCTAATTTTTTTGTTCCTTGCATTTATATATTCTGAGAAAATGTATTGATACAGCATCAAAACGCATCATGGGCTTAAAAAGATTTGTTTCTCTTGCAGGTTTCTATACATCTTGGTAGAGTTAAATAAATTATGAAAACCGATGGGCCCTAAAGTAGCTCATAATCCTCACGTATTTAAATCTTTTTATTAGTAAGGATTAAGCACATCGGTGCATGAAGAACATGAGATAACATTTGAGATCTCTTTAGATTTGGGGGGTAATAACCTTCCAAATAGATACCTCTTTCAGTAAGACACATGCAGGCCACTGCCAGGAACCTTCCCCTTGGCTTTTCTAATTTGTCTATTGGAGTATACATGTGAATTTGCACATATGAAAACACCATAGTTATGCTCCTGAAAAATGATCACTTTTGGTTTGTCCCACGTTGTTTGTAGCTAAGAGTTGATTAGTTAAGGAATGATACAAACATAAGATAATCCAGTTTCCTACGCTCAGGATCAATAATGTTAATGTAACTTCCAGACCGACACCATACCAGCTACTCTACAGAACCTATTGAGAAGTAAAAGGGTAAAAAATATCCCAGCCATCTTACCCTTATATAAGCCTTGTATGGCCCATAAATTCTGCTATTTCTATTTTGGGAAAAAAGTCAAGCTAAGTTAATTTGGTTTTAAATTCCGAAGATTTTGAAATAGGATTAGGTGATCAATCCTCCAGCTTGTAGCCCCCCTTTTCTCCCCTAATTAAGACAGAACCAGGCGCTGAACTCCCCTGGCCATTTTGAGCTTGCTTCGAGCTTTTCTAAAATCAATTAGATATGTTTAACCTAAGTGAAAAAGGGAAAACACTCTCAGTCTCTCTCTCTCTCTCTCAAAATCAGCAGGATGAGTGAAGATCTGTGAGCAACCTCCTGATGACATACATGACATTCTCTTGAAAGGGTAATGGCAATTCTCGATAATTTTTCTTGGTTTCGTAATTTCATTCGATTAATCTTTTGCTATTTATTGACCATTTCTTGCTTTGTATATGATTAAGGCCATCGCAGCTGGGGTTAAGCATTAATTCAAAAGTAACTTCTGAGAGTGTTGAATGAGGAGATTCCGTAGATGGGCATCAACAGCTAACGAGAAAAGAAAGACACGAAAGGAGTTTTCCCTCTTGCGCTAGGGCTAAGATAAATTATCCTCATTCATGCATGCACATGCATGACTCATCAAAACAGAGTCCCACATCACATTTACACACACGGAGACACTTGCACGATATGAGTTTAGCAATGTCATTATGGAACTTTTCAAAGCCTTTGCAAAACCAGTAACTGTTCTTGGAAAAGCTCCATCATTTATGCTGTTGATGGGCACCTCTCTCTCTCTCTCTCTCTCTCTCTCTCTCTCTCTCTAGTCACACTGTGTGTACTGTGATTGAGTACAGAGATTGGCCTTTGAAAAGCCAACATCAACAGTTGAGAGAGAGAGAGAGAGTGAGGAGTGAATTAAATGACGACTATCTGACATTTTCTTGGGAAACGAAACGGTTTCTATTGACAACTTCATGTCTTGAAGATGGAAACCACCAACTTTTTTTGTGTTGACAGCCTTCAACTGTTTTTTTTTACGGTAGAGAAGCCTTCATTTGTGTTGTTATTTCTGATCTTCTTGTACTATAGAGACACACAGATTCAAGACTTATCGATAACTACAAGCTAATCATGTTTTCTTTACAAATGAAACACATTTTCTTGGTCTAGTGAGAAAAGTAGAGAGAGAGAGAGAGAGAGAGAGAGAGCGAGTTAAAAGGGTAACTTGAGATGCACGTAGATGTGGTCTTTCTGTCTTGTTTGCTACAAACACAGGACACAGAAGATGGGGCCCATTTTTCTAAAAAACAAAAACAAAAAAATTTCATCGATCAGAGATCAAATCCAATACCTATTTTACTCTATTGATATACTGTTTATCTGTTTTTTTTTTTGGTCGAAACTGTTTATCTGTTTGAAGTCGCTTGCTTTTGTCTAACGTTCAACGTACTGTGCTCCAATTCTCTTCATGGTCCCGTCGCCATCACTGATTTATAACCCATCCAATATAATATAGCAATAGAAAGAAGCAATAAAATAAATATACATAGAGCATCTGCGCTGCATTTTAACTGTTTACCAACACTTATATAGTATTACGAAGTCTTTTATAGTTAAATATGTGATCGGGTACAGTTCAGGGGTCAACTGATGATCTGGTCATAGTGGACCGTACTGTTTCGCTCTTTCCTCTCTAGTCTCATCTGCACCACGAGCCATAGCCTAAAACCTGGAGGTCTTGTACTTGCACAGATTGTCGTGTTATGTAGGGGTAGAAAATATATATAGAATGATAGTACTAGGCATACCAGAATATATATTTTTTATATCATAGAGTAGGATGTGAGAAAAACCCTACCTTCATTTCCTCTTTTGGGTTTAACTTGCTAAGCTGATTCATTTTTTCAAATTCACATCACATGAAGTTAGTTGTCCACTCATTGTATTATTTGCAATTGACTTTTTGGCAAATGAAATGAAGTTTGCTTGTGTGGATAAATGCTGTATCTTTGAATGATAGGTGCGGGACCCTAATTTCATGTCGTGAACCAATCTCTGGTTCCATCATTAAGCCGAAAAACAAAGTACTAGCTCTCACTCCCACTCTCTCTTCTTAGTTTCCTTATTCTCTAAACTAAAAATAGTAATTAATAGAACATTGTGTTTTTGCATGTACAAATGCAGTCACAAAATTAGATCACGTCAAGTTTAGTCGTCCATAACCACAAAGGGGAAAATATCACGATTAGTCTCGGTCCATATTAGAACATGAAGTATTCCTAAGTGCTAATGGATTACGCATGAGATCCACATGATATAATTTACCTAGGGATGATGTTAGCCACTTTGCCATGCAGTTCATTTTTTCGACCCTATTATCCTCTTCATCAGTTCCAAATATGCTCTTATTTTAAAGGAAACCAATTGTTTGAGGAAGATAGAAGAGAATCTACAGGATATGGCAAATTGCCTTTCTCAAAGCCAAACGAAAAACTTGCTCAAAATAAAGCGGATTCTTAATAGAGAGCCACCAAAAATAGCAAAGCTCCAAATTCTACCAGGATCTAAGGGAGGTGTAAGAAGCACATTAGATAAGGCAAGGTTTAGCTACTAGCGTGCAGCGATGTTAATGTTGCTGCCCGACGAATGGCAGCCTGTCACAATGCATAAGTAGCACAAATAATCAGACTTATGGATTAGAAGTCTGGTCTCTATAACGAGTCCTAGACAGATATAATCAGACTTATGGATTAGAAGTCTGGCCTCTATAACGAGTCCTAGACAGATATCAACATTTCACACATGCAAGCGAATCAACATGAGGTGATAAGCGGCTGTGAAGTGTGCTCGCGGTTCGGTTGCATGTGGGGCTTTGCCTCTTTAATCTGTTGTAACTGGAAGCCACTGGGTAAAGAAGAGTGCCCACCAAACCCCACTGGCACCTCGAAAGCATTGGGTTTGGGGCGTTAATAATCGAATGTGATGAACTAAGTCAAAAAAGAAGGGCAATTCTCTAGCTCACCTTAGTTTTGCTCACTCAACTTGCCACAAACCCATTTGCAAGTGAAAACTGGGGAAGCTCCAGCATGTATGTGGAATTGCTTTTGAGAATGCGCAGCAATCTAATTCCTTCAGTGAGCTTTTTGCTTACGAAAGAAGATGTGAGCTATTGTCACAAGAGGGTGATAGGAAAGGCTCTCAAATACTGCCACTTAACGCTGCTATCCTCTGGTAAGTAAATCTTGCCCTGAATCCAATGGAAAAGCCGCACCTTTTTGGGGATGTTCAGTTGGTAAACCAAATTCATCTGAAAGTTTACAAAGGAAGAAAATTTCTTTCTTCACTTTCTTGTGGCTCCCTTTTTCTACTTATATTTCTAATGATTATTTTATTGTTGAGTAGATCTCTCAAATGGGTGGGTTTGGTCGATAATGGTCCAACCCAAATTGACCCATTTAATCCATTTTGACCAATTTTCATGTAATACAAATCTAGTGATCCATACTTAACCTATACCCGACCCAATACATATTGCTAAAACACTTATATATTTAACCAAGTTTAGGAAAACTCATGCCCAAACTAAGGTGAAAACAAGGCGTGAGCGAGCTCGAGATCAACATAGAGTGAAAAGAGAAAGTCATAGAGGTGGGTTGGGTTTAAGTAAGTTATGAACCAATTTAACACTTATATTAAATCCATTTACGACCCATAGAGTTGGGTCGAAACCCATTTATGACCAATTTATTGAATATTACTAACCCATATAACAATTTAGCCCATAAAAAATGAGTTAATAAATGGGTCTATAACCCATTTTGACAAGTCTATTGTTGAGCGATCCATTGGTGACCAAATTGGTTACAAATTCCGACGTACCAAGACAAGCTTATTTTCAGATCTCGTTAGACTGCAATATATATCTTCAGATAATATTCTTTCAAAATCTCTTTACTTTCACTAGAAACTAAAGGAAGAGGAAATTAATGATAAAACAAGGAGAGGCAATCATAGCTTGTATTTTATTGGATGGAAAAATATCCAAAATCCTAGCTTGTTTATATTGTTGGGGTGTGTTTCCTATTTTGAATCAAATTATTGCCTATACATATTCTCTTTCTCTTGTAATTAAGAGATGTAATAGAGAGATGCGATGTGTTTGAATCATCTGCTAGACGTAGCTCTAGTTTAAGGGTGAACCAGGATAAAATCTTGTGTCTCGATTTCTTCTTCTCGCTTCTAATCTCTATTTCTTTGTGATTATGCACCGATTCCTAACATATATCATCTATAATGACTTTATTCTCATTTACAACTTTCCTCCGCCTAACCAAAAGATTAGAGCTTTTTCTTTTGTTGGGTTTTTCCAACACGTATGGTATTGTAGTCAAGTTTGAATTTATGGATTAGTCATGTTTATTGTATGGAACTGCATTGAGGGTTTATAATGGTCTTGCACTCATAAAGCATCTGTCTTTACGTAATAGTTTAAATTGTTTGTTTGGACTTTTTAGCATAATTGTACAAGCATAACAATCAAGTGACACAAGTCATGCCCAAAGTATGCTGTCGAGTCAATGTGAAGAAGACAATGCTCCTGAATTTAATGTAAGTGCGTTGAGCATGATCATGATTCCACAAATTGTAAGGGGAATAGCTAAGCAGATAAAGAAAGGATTAAGCTAAATGAAAATCTTTAGGCCGTTTGGTATATAGGAAAGGAGCGATCGAAATAAAATATAATTGAATTTAAATGAATTATAAGAATTCAGGATGGGAGTTAATTTAAGGCTTCATTCGTTTCGCGGAAAATGTTACGTTTCTGAAAAATATTTTCCAGAAAGTCATTTTCCTGGAAAATGACACAATTTTTGGGTGTTCGCCTGAAATCTGAAAAGTCTTGGAAAATATTTTCCGTTGTTCGGTATGGAAAAGATTTTCCTCCTTACAATACTTTTAATAATTTTTAATTTTATTTTTTTAAAAAAAATTTAATTTTCTGTTTTTTCTTTTTCCTTCTTCTTCTTCTCCGGCAGGTCGCTGGCAACCGGCTGAGGGAGAAGAAGAAGAAGGAAAAAAAAAGAAAAAGAAAATATTGAAAATAAATGGTGAAAGAAGAAGAAGAAGAAGAAGAAGAAGAAGGAAAATGTTTTCCTCTTTTGAGAAAGAGGAAGTCATTTTCCTCAAAAGTGAAGGTATTTTGTCCATAGGAAGGAAAATGTTTTCAGTGGGAAGTTATTTTCCATAAAACGAACACCTAAAAATCATTATATTCGGTGACATATCGAAATTAGAATTTGTCTTTTTGTGGTTTGAATTTTGCTGATTCAAAATTCAACATATAATAGCAAATTAGCTAAGTCTACTTACCATGTAATGTTTTTTCGGGAAAATGACACCACAATTGCCATAATTTTCATACGGCACCCACTTGAGTACCATAACTTTTGTACATGACTTACTTGAGTACCATAACTTTCTTTCCGATCACTGTAATGTCATATAACTTTCCAATCAGTCATTGCGGTGCCATAAATATTTAAAAGTGTTCATCCCAAGTGCCATACTACATTGGATTTTTGGCTCTTGGGATGAATGTTTTAAAAAATTTAAGGCACTCAAGTGATCGATTGACAATTATAATACTCAAGTGAACTTTTTTTTTTAATAAGCGACACTCAAGTTATCGAGAAAAGAGTTACAACACTCAAGTGATTGAACTTGTTGAATTAGCTAGTAAATGAATCTTCCTTGTAAGTATAACCAGTTAAAGAAAAGCATTTGATGAAACTTGACTCAGCTCTTAGTACTTCCATTAGTATGCACGAGAAGTAAATTGCTGGTCAAAATAACATTTAAAAACACCTTAAGTCAAAAAGTGCCCACAGGTTCAATAGAGACTTACCACATCAATAAATATTAAACCATAAAAAACCAGATATTTTGGGCCATCCTTGAACTCAAATGGCCTGCCGATTTTGATAGATTGAAAAGTATAAACTCATAAATATTCTGATATTTCCTTCCAAAAGCGGCATGCCAGTGGGGTTTCAACAGTGACTGTGAAGTGGGTTTTTTTTTTTTTTTGGAATTTAGAGATTTAATTCCCCCGTATTTATGTCACATATTTAGTGACCATTGAGATTTAAATTATTGAATGTTGGAGTTAAATATAAGAATTGCGGAAGAGAGAAATGAGAGAAATTGTATGTATTTCGATATATTATAATGAATAGTACATCAGCCTATTTATAGGCTTTATGAGAGACTATCAAATGCAATACAAGATATGCACATTCAAATGAGATATCGCACAATTTTGAGAGATACAGAAAACCAACATAAATATTCTAATTATCTATAATATCCTAGAGAATTATGTTAATTATCTCTAACAGTTGGTAAGGCTGGTCACCCTATAAATAGGAGCACATGGTTACACACAATGGTATCCAAGGAAAGCATATAGAATAAGAGGAGCTGATCAATATACTTGAGCCTTCTGAAATATCTGGAGACATGAACATGAAGAGACCCTGCATGGCCGCAATGCTTCTAGTTTTTCTCCTCTTCACTATGTGTAATCGTTTCTCTCTTCATCCCTCTCCCATTTTCACCATCTTCGATTTCCTTCTCGAAGAAGGATGATACGTCATGATTAAGAAACTTATAACAAGACTGTGTTTTCTTTGCGGGTTCAATCGTTTGAAGTTTTGTCTCCTAATGACAGGCAATTATGAAGTGGAGGCTGAGCGTAGATGCGTGCTGTATGGGACAGCACCGGGCGGTTGCCAGGCTGCTCCGTGTCAAGCCTTTTGTGACAAATACTATGGTGATAAGCATCCCGGGGGGGTTTGCAGTGGGAATAATTGCTTATGTTTCTATCGTTGTTAAATCCCTAGAAGCCTTTGGCCCAGTGCCAGAGACATCAGGACTTCTGTTCCAAATGCAATAAACTCTCCCTTCAAATCAAAAGGGAGGTCTCTTTCGGGTTATTTTGGTCCCATATTATTTACTGTGTTTGCTCTGAAATTGAACTAGCATCAAGTTTCGGGTCAACAGAATTTTCATGCTCGATGATGAATAAGTCCATCACGGAATTTAAGAGAGGCCAACGTAAAGGATTAATTCGTCGGCTATTCTTAACGAGGTCTACTTAATCAGCTCTTGCCACTTGGTTCCTTTGCAACTCCTATCTTCTTGCTCAAAGGAAGCAAATAAGACCACCTAGACTAACCTTATTGAAAGATTGAGAAAAAGTCCTACACCTATAAACTAACCTTATTGTAAGACCACTTGGAGTGGTCGCCGGTTTGCGGTAAATGTGGCACAAATCTACTAGTTTGGGACTTTTTGTAACACGAAAATTATATTGGGCTAAATGTGACACGGGTATACCAATTTGAGATTTTTTAATAACCCGAAAATTAGTTTGAGTAGATGTGACACATGTGTACCAGTTTGTAATCTTTAGTAGTATTAATCCCAAACTTTAATATGTAATTGCGTATCAAGTAAGTCTACTTACCATATCAGATTTTTTTTATTGAAAATTATCAAAACTTAGGATTAATTAATAATCCACTTGTACGTTTGGCTTTTTTCAATAACACATTCCCATTGATTCTCACTCTTTCCCTCCTCTCCATGATAAAGAAATTGCAGCAATGCTTCTGCTTGCGTTCCCAATTCCATTTCCATTCCGCTTCTTTGCAATTGTCATCACTTTTGTTATACAAAGGTCCTTGCAATGGAAGGAACATTTTATCCATTTCTCTTTCTCCCAAAAAGTACGGTAAAAGAAGTGATATTGTTTCGCCGGTTTTATCCCGTCGAAAATCTTTCACCGAACGCTGCGTTTCAGATTTTATTAGAGGAGATTAGGGTCTTGAATCAAGCTCGGACAGAGAATGTCAAATGCGTCTATTAAACCCAACTTGTGCCTTACAACTTAACTCGATAATACACCCAACTCAACAATACTAATGATAGGATGACAACTTGCAAATGTTAAGACTAAGCTATGTCGGAATCCAATCAATGACACAACCAGTACACAACATTGCAATTCCAGATATGCTAGAATCTAATCAATGACGTGACCTGAGAGAATATGGCTGGAATCCAATCAACAGCTATATTCCAAGCACAATGCCGGAATCTAATCGACGACGTTGAACTAGTGGTACAGCATTGGAATTTAATCAACAATGCTGGACCTGATAAAGACTCGCGCCGGAATTGAATCTACGACGTGGAATCTGAAAGCTGTAACTATTACTACTCCTATTTTGCCAAAAATAAAGATAGATAAGAAGTCTGTTGTCTTGTTCCGAGTCCTTCTCTACGTCAGAAATCCTTGAGTATTTATAGAGCAGCCTGATAACTGTCGATCGGCTACTTCTCCTTGAAAGTTGTTTTCCACTTCCTTACACTTCGCACTTTAACCGTTTCCTGACTTGTCGATGTTGCTTACGCTCCTTGGGCATCATGTAATAGCTGATTTTCTTCCACGTGTCTTCTTATTTCCTGCTGTTTCCCACGTTTCACTATTTAGCTTCATTGATCTTCACGCCCACAGTAATGTCTTTATCTTTCGACACGTGAAAATGAGTTTCTTTACTATGTAACACCACGTGCTTAATTCATGATCTCAAATTCATGATTATGAGGGTCATTAAAACTGAGATTTTTCTTGCTTTATTTAGATAATGAGGGATTTCCCTCTGGATTTCTCATTAATGGTAATATAGCTAATAAGCATTAAGAAAATGGTTATCTCAAGGATTGTGTCAGCAACAACTTTCATATAATTTACTTCTTACTTTATTACAAGGAAGATCAAAAGCATGTCGAACATAACAAGACTACCTTACCCACCTTGTATCAGTGGAGATTGGGTTGACCGCGATGCTACGCGCTTATTTGTCCCTTTTATTTTTTCGGTTTCTAGCTTACAGTGTTGTCAATTTTCACTACAAAAAAACAAGGATTTTGCCACGAAAATTAGCCACGAAAAATTTTTCGTCGCAAATTTGCGACGAATTTTGCGACGAAAACTAAATTCGTCGTAAATTAGCAACAAAAAATTTTTTGTGGCAAATTTGCGACGAAATTTACCACGAAAAATTACTCGTGGCAAATTTGAGACGAAATTTGCGACGAAAAAGTTATTCGCGGCAAATTTGCCACGAAAAATTATTCGTGGTAAATTTGCCACGAATTTTGCCATGAATTTCAAAAAAAGCATTTATCTCTAATATGTTCGAAATTCGTTGCAACCACGAAAAATCAAATTGAGCCGAGGATGCCGGAAACTTGATTTTCGTGGCAAAATTCGTGGCAAATTTGCCACGAATTTTGCAACGAATTTCAAAAAAGGCATTTATTCTAGTATGTTTGATTTTCATGGCAAAATTCGTGGCAAATTTGTCACGAATTTCAAAAAAGGCATTTATTCTAATATGTTCGAAATTCGTTGCAAAATTCGTAGCAAATTTGCCACGAAAAATCAAATTAAGCCGGTATGCCGGAAACTTGATTTTTCGTGGCAAAATTTGTGGCAAATTTGCCACGAAAAATCGTACATATTAGAATAAATGCCTTTTTTTGAAATTTGTGGCAAAATTTGTGGCAAATTTGCCACAAATTTCCATAAATTTAAAAATAGATGGCATTTATTCTAATATGTTCGAAATTTGAAAATGGAAATTTGCCACAAATTTAAAAAACGCGGCATTTATTCAAATATGTGCAAAATTCATGGCAAATTTGCAAGAATTTTGCCACGAATTAAAATCATTTATTCTAATATGCCGGGTATGCGTGACAAATTTTGATTTCGCATTTTCTAATAATTCGTTGCAAAATTGGCAAATTTGCCAAGAATTTTGCCACGAATTAAATCAAATTAAGCCGGGATGCTAATATGTTCGATTTCGTGGCAAATTTGTCACGAATTTCAAAAAGTATTTTTCTTAAAAAAAAAGGCATTTATTCTAATATGTTCGAAATTCGTGGCAAATTTGCCACGAATTTCAAAAAAAGCATTTTTCCTAATATGTTCGAAATTCGTTGCAAAATTCGTGGCAAATTTGCCAACGAATTTTGCGACGAAAAATCAAATTAAGCCGGGGATGCACGAAACTTGATTTTCGTGGCAAAATTCGTGGCAAATTTGCCACGAATTTCAAAAAAGGGCATTTATTCTACTATATTTGATTTTCCTGGCAAAATTCGGGGCAAATTTGCCACGAATTTTCCCACGAAAAATCAAATTAAGCTGCTAAGCCGGAAACTTGATTTTTCGTGGCAAAATTCGTGGCAAATTTGCCACGAATTTCAAAAAAAGGCGTTTATTCTAATATGTTCGATATTCGTGGCAAAATTCGTGGCAAATTTGCCACAAATTTTGCCACGAAAAATCAAATTAAGCCGGGTATGCCGGAAATGTGATTTTCGTGGAAAAATTCGTGGCAAATTTGCCATGAATTTTTGCACGAATGTCGAACATATTAGAATAAATGCATTTTTTGAAATTCGTGGCAAATTCAAACATAGTAGAATAAATGCCTTTTTTTGAAATTCGTGGCAAATTTGCCACGAATTTTGCCACGAAAATCAAACATAGTAGAATAAATGCCTTTTTTTGAATTTGCCACGAATTTTGCCACAAAAATAGAACATATTAGAATAAATGCCGTGAGACTTGATTTTCGTGGCAAAATTCGTGGCAAATTTGCCACGAAAACAGTACTAGAATAAATACCTTTTTTCGAAATTCATGGCAAATTTGCCACAAATTTTAAAAAAAAAGCCGGCAAACAATTACCAATTTAAAAAATAAAAAAAGTTTGCGACAAATTTTTTTTTCGTGGCTAATTTGTGACGAAAAATTATTGGTGGCTAATTTGCGAAGGATTTAGCCACGAATTCGATATTACCAATTTAAAAAATAAAAAAATTTTGCGACGAATTATTTTTCACGGTAATTAGCGACGGATTTATCGATGAATTTGACATTACCAATTTAGAAAATTTGTGACGAAAAAAAATCCGTGGCTAATTAGCGACGGATTTAGCGACAAATTTGACATTAACAATTTAGAAAATAAAAAGATTTTGCTATGAATTATTTTCCGTGGCTAAATAGCGACGGATTTAGCGACGAATTTGCCATTAACATTTTAGAAAATAAAAAAAAAATTTGCGATTAATTATTTTCCGTGGCTAATTAGCGACGAACAAAAAAGTTCGTCGCAAAATTACATATTAATTATAAGATTCCAGAAGCCGAAATAATAAAAGATAATACTTCTTATAAAACTTCATTCCTTTTATAGGACTTATACAACCTTTTAAAATTATCATTTTAGGGACTTATAGGGACTCCTTTTATAGGACTTATACAACCTTTTAAAATTACTAATGATGGTATCGAGACCAAATTTTTAAAAAAGGAAAATAATTTTTAATATTATAAGCAAACCACAAATCAAGAACTTAAGTACACTTCAGGAACAATCCGTTTCTGAAATAAATTGTATTATCCAAAATAAGAAAACCACCTTCAATATTTAAAAGAAGACCTTGAACATAAAAGAATTGAGCAAAATTTTTCTGATTCTACTATTAAGAAAATAATTGCTAATCTTGAAATTTGCATAAAAAGTTCTATATGTTCGACACTTCCTAATGCTTTTTGGTCTAAAAAATATCATATAGTTGATTTACCTTATGAATCTTAATTTTTTGAAAAAGAAATCCCGACCCGACCAAGGCAAGACCTTCCTAAATGAATCAGGAAGTCATGAATTTTTATCAAAATGAAATCCAAGAACTTCTTGATAAAAATCTCATTAGAAAGGGCCAATCACCTTAGAGTTGCTCGATTTTCTATATAAACAAAAATGCTAAATTAGAAAGAGGAGTTCCAATATCGGTAATCAACTATAAACCTTTAAATACAGCTCTGAAATGGATAAAATATCCAATTCCTAATAAAAAAGACTTATTGAATAGATTACACAATTCAAAATTATTTTATAAATTTGATATGAAATCAGGATTTTGGCAAATACAAATCAATGAAAAGGACAGATATAAAACTGCCTTCACTGTTTCACTACAAAAAAACAAGTATTTCGCCACGAAAATTAGCGACGAAAAATATTCGTCGCTAATTTGCGACGGAATTTGCCACGAAAAAAAAATTCGTGGCTAATTAGCGACAAATTTTTTTTCGTGGCTAATTTGCGACGAAAAATTATTCGCGGCTAATTTGCAACGAATTTAGCCACGAATTCGACATTACCAATTTAAAAAATAAAAACATTTTGCTACGAATTTTTTTCCCTGGCTAATTTGCAGCGAATTTAGCCACGAAAAAAATCCGTGGCTAATTAGCGACGGATTTAGCCATGAACTCGACATTATCAATTTAAAAAAATGAAAAAATTTTGCGACGAATTATTTTTCGTGGCTAATTTGCGACGGAATTAGCCACGAAAAATAATTCGTCGCAAATTTTTTTAATTTTTTAAAATTTGTGAGGTCAAATTCGTCACTAAATTCGTGGCTAATTAGCCACGAAAGATAACGTTCGTCGCTGATTTTGCTTCCCGCCCTCTCTCAAATCTGCCCGCCCTCACCCTAATTTTTTTTTCTCTGTCTCTCTCTCTCTGCTCTTCCTCAGATCCCCCCCTCCGCCAAACACCTCTCCGTCGATCCCCCTCCCCTCCGCCAGCCATGATGGCCACCCTCACCGCCATCGCCGTCACCTCCTCCTCCGTCGCCATACGCCCGTTCTGCGCCCACCAGCCCTCCCTCGCCCCAGATCTGGGCGAGGTCGAGCGGCCTCGCCCATGGCCGCCGGTCGACCTCGCCCATGGCTGCTCGACCTCGCCGTCGCCCAGATCTGGGCGACGGCGAGGGCGAGCGGTGGCCATGGGCGAGGCCGGGATCCGGTGCTTCGTTGCCGAGGGCCGCCGGCGGGGGACTGGTTGATTGCGTGGTGGTCGGGGGCGGGATCGGCGGGCTCTGCATCGCCGCGCGGAGCCCGTTCTTCGGGACCGCGTTCGCGGAGAGCGAGAGCGGGTCGAGGCTCAAATCGGCGTGAGTTCTTTCTTGGGTGTTCTTCCTTTTTTTTTTCTGGGGAAAAGGAAGAAAATGGAGAGGAGCACGCCGGTGAGGAAGCCTCACACTTCGACTTCAGATCTGCTCACGTGGTCGGAGACTCCGCCTCCCCACGATTCAGTCGCGCCCGGTTCGGCTTTCTCTCGCTCCAATGCTCGCTCTCACCAGCTGCGGCGTTCGCTTTCACCTTCTGCCTTTTTTTTTTTTTTTTTTTTTATCTTCTTGGGCTTTCCTTTTTTAACGGGTTGTTCTGGGGGCATGATGTTGTTAGCCTTCGGATGGGATCAGCAAGGTGGTGTTTGGAGGTCCAAGTGACTGCAGAGAAATCTGAGAATTTGAACAAAAGGTTAGATCTGCTCTTCCTTGGTTTTTTTCCCCTCTCCCTGTTTGTTGATGACGTTTTGTGTTTTTTCCCCTTAAATGCAATGTTTCATTTGGCGGAATGGGTCGCCACCGTTTTTCCTATTTGTCCGCATTCTCTCCATGTTCTCCAATGCTTTGGATTTTCTTTCTTTAGAAATTATGGTTGGATTGTGTAATATAGGTTCAATGTGGATGTGTAGTGATCGATCTGCGGAGAATGAGGGCAGAAACTTTGAATCCAACATGATAATCTTTACCACCTTCATTTAAATTACAAAAGAAGGGAAATTTTTTTGGGGGTGGCTGTTGATGGAGCAATCTTGGTCAATTGGGTGGATCTTAGAACTTCAGATGCCTTGGTAGGTCGAGCTTGCTCATCTTCCTTGGCCTTAGAAGTCTGGTTGGCCTCTTGAGCTTGATTCTATTGCAAGCCCTCATGTCTAATTGAGATAGTCCAGTCATTCCCCTTCCATTCAATGGCTCTTCAATTAATAGTAATTAGATGGACAGCGTAAGTTCCTTTGATGTCCAGATTCGAGAAGTAAACATTTCTTTGGCGACTATCATATGGGGCTCCTTCAATGTCTGCTGAACTTCTGCGGTCATGAAAATGCCGATTTGATCATCCCATTGACAATCTACCGAACTCTGATCTAGATACAATTGTAATAGGTGCTTAGCTGATGTGAACTTATTTTTGATGTCTTTTCAATTTGCGTATGTGAAATATGTTATTGACATGTGAAAGCTCTAGTCCATGTAAGAGTAGGTTGTTCTTAGTCCATTCATGGAAAGGAGATGGCATTTTGCTGAGGATTGGTCAGTCACAAATAGTGCATCGTCAACATCCTTCTAAAAAGTGCTGCAATAGAAACAATTGTTTGTTGCTAGATTAGGAAAAGGTTCAATCCATGGATAACATGTACATACAGAAAAGTCATTACATATACAATTACAAATACATGCACGCACAAACATGTCCATCTAAAAAGCCAGTTACTTGGCTATCTATCTATCTTTTTTCATACACATATAGAATGGGGATGAATATTTGGCACAAATGCACATGCACCCACACAAAGGCGCACAAGCATGCATGTTTGGTTGTGGGCACGCTCTCATACACACGTGACCTTTTTATATCCTCCTTGTCAAGAGAGTTACATAAGCTTTCATAATGCCTTTGCACTTGGACTCCGCTTATTGTGGCTTTTTCCTTGTCTTCTTCTTCATAGAATAGTGCTTTTGTAATCTTCTAGGAAGTCTTGTTCTGCCTACAAGTTGAAAGAAATCACCGGTAGTGGGATTTTTGCTGCCAATGGGGAAGATGATTTATTGGAGCCTGGAAGTGCCAACCCTGCTTCAAATAACAAAACAGGATTAAAGATGTACCAGGTATGTTTTACTGTGCCGATTGTATTTGACCTTTTAAATTGGTGCTGAGTCCATGATGATGTATGTAAGCTCTTTTGGTGGTAAACAGGTTTTCAGTGAGTTTTACACAGAAATAGCAACTCTAGTTTAACACTTTGCTGCTGCATTCTCGATTGTCATTTTGGTGAGAACTTGTGATGACATTGGGTTCACACTGTAAAATCATGTAATAGGTGGCAGAGGCAATAGCAAGTTAGTTTCATTTTGTCAAGTTTAGCTCTTGCTCTTTGAAACAAAATGGTTAGCTTTTGCACTGTTTTTATCAGAAATTAAACCTGACAACCAACAAATTCTTCACCCTTTTATCTGAAAAGAACATGTCGAGCAAAAGGGTTAGCTTTTGCATTGTTCAAATTTCCAAAAGGGTTAGCTCTTGCACTGTATACTCGATAATGGCACCATATTTGTTTTCTGTATGCCTAAGTTTAGACAGTTTACTTTATTTGATCAGTAAACAAATTCTAGTTTCGGATTCGCATGTTTAGTTATCCATTGGGTCTGTTGTGAGCTTTTCTTCTACATGGTAAGCATGCTGTATCTTCTATTGGTTTGAGGTTTAATTTCTGGGTCTTGATTGAAATTCTGACTTCCTATCTACTTGGGCTGTTCCTGACTGTGCGTGCTTTGCCTTTTCTTTTAGTGCTTATATATGGAATTTCTTGAATAAAGAAGTCGTTCTTTTTGTATAACTCGCCTAAATCACCATGGTCTGAGCTAAAAACATTAGTGCAATGCAGGTCCTCCACAATATTGCGGTCGCTGAATACTTTCGTGATGGCTGTTCAGATCCAAGAAGATTGCTTGAAGTACTTAATAACGTCAATGTGTGGCAGTCCTTCAAACACACTCTCTTCAGAATATGCGATCTACTCTAAGCTATTGAGTTTTCAATCAGTCTTGATATGTTGTGTTGAACACAGTGGGAGTAGGCGAGAGGGAAACACTGATAGTTGCTTCTAAATTATCATCTAGACATCGATGAAGGAGGTGAATTACTTTGAACTTTGTCATTCGTGTGGCAAATGTTGATGAATGTATTTCATTTATATATCATTATAATATTTTGATGTTATTAACTGCTTAATCAATGTTAAATATATATTCTAGAAATTAAAATCGAAATCGTCCCTAAACAATATTCGTCGCTAAATTCGTTCCGGAACAATATTCGTTGCAAAAGTAAAATTTTTTCGCAACAAATTTTGCCACGAATAAGTTCGTCGCAAAAAACATGGCCAAAAAAACTTTATTCTTTTTATTTTTTTGTGGCAAATTAGTGACGAATTTTGTCACGGATTTTTTTTATATAATTTTTTTTTCAAAAAAAAAATATTTTTTGTGGCGAATTTACGACGAATTTTGCCATGAAATTTTTTTTATATAATTTTTTTTCAAAAAAAATGTTTTTTATTTTTATGTGGCTAATTTGCGACGAATTTTGTCACAAATTTTTTTATATACTTTTTTTTTCAAAAAATATTTTTCTGTGGTTAAATTCGTTAACGAACGAATTTAGCCACGAATTTGTTTTCGTCGCAAATTACCAATGAAAATTACAATTTTTTGTCGCAAAAATTTCCGACGCCTCGTCGGAAATTCGTTTTGCCATGAATTTTACCACGAATAATTACCGACGAATTTTGCCACGATTTTTGCAACGAATAATTAACGACGAATTTTGCAACGAATTTAGCCACGAATTTTTTTTTGTCGCAAATTACCAACGAAAATTACAATTTTTTGTCGCAAAAATTTCCGACGCCGAATTAGCGACGAATTTTTTTTCGTCGCTAATTTCGTCGGAAATTCGTTTTGCCACGAATTTTACCTCGAATAATTACCGATGAATTTTGCCACGATTTTTGCAACGAATAATTAGAGACGAATTTTGCAACGAAATTTGCCACGAATTTAGCCAAGAATTTTTTTTCGTCGCAAATTACCAACGAAAATTGAAATTTTTTGTCGCAAAAATTTGCGACGCCGAATTAGCGACGAATTTTTTTTCGTTGCTAATTTCGTTGGAAATTCGTTTTGCCACGAATTTTGCCAAATTTTTCGTGGCAAAATTCGTGGCAAAACCCTTGTTTTTTTGTAATGTTTCAACACCCCTTTCCTAATATGAGCCATTAATCATTTGAATTTTCGACCATACGAAATTTAGTAGTGTGCATGGATGATGAGAGATGCGATGTAGTTGAGTGCGACAGCATAATATGTGATCGAGCTCAATAAATGACTGATTGCAGGGCATGAATAGTGTTAGGAAGGCCCAAAACCTTCACATGGGAAGATCCTCAAGAGAGAGCTCAAATCCAAATCAATCAACATATCAAGTTGGACCTACCTTCACTCAAAACCTTAAATCAACGAGTTATGGGCCAACAATGATATATTAACTGCTCAATACCACATCAATTATCCAATGTGGGACTTCTTTAATACAACTCACACTTGTATCTCAACAAATAAGAGTTGCCTTAGTTGGTGGGATAGAATGGAGAGAGAGCGAAAGCTACGATAGAAAAGGACAATGCGTACGTGACGGTCGTGCTGATACCGAATGGAAAAGCAGCTGGGTATATTGATCTTTGTTGTTACCAAGTATATGTTTGGACTGATGAAAAGGGCAATGTCTTTGAAATACCCACGGTTGGATGAGGGGGAAAAATGTATTCCCGAATAAAATAGATCATGAAGCTACTTGATATAACAAATGGAAATTAAGAATCATTTGATGTGGCCCTGTTCTATATACCGGCTTTGGATACGAGAGGGAGAGTGATTTTAACATGTAAGTGTGATTAATACGTGTGATTCTTCTATGCGAAATTCAGTCCTGTGTGAACTAGTTTGTTACCAGTGACCTTAAATCAAGTTACCAAAGAGCTTACATTATAATAAGAGGATTGATCCCCTAGCCATGTTAATAACATCAAGAAAGAAAATTCGAAGTGATAAAAAAGGAGAGCTTATCGAATGGACGATGTATCAAAGGCACGAGCTGTTAATTATGATTAGCCATTTATGCAATTTCAGAGCTTTCAACTTTATCTTCCACCGTCCTCTAATATGGTCAAAGTATAAACAACATCCTCAAGTTATCAAATATCGTCATTTAGGTCTCTTCTGTCTATTTATCTTCGAAATAAACTTAACCGGTAATTTCTAACTAGTTGAATGAATTATTGTTACTTAGCTGCTTCACACAACTAGAAATAGAAAAACGGTCCACGAAATCGTTCGTCTAAATTATCAAAACTAAGAGAAGTGATGTTGTGGTTTTCGTTGCAAACATATTGGCTTATGCCCGCGTGTATCCAGCTTTGGATTATGCATAAGATGAGAAAAAGAGAAACCAGCTCCAAAATGCTACGAAGATCTTCACTCATTTCTCACTCTAATAAATGATTAGAGGATTAACCAAAATTTTAAGGTCTCTTTCATTTACATACAAAGCTACCTATGTACTAAAGACTAATCCAAATTCTATTATTTTTTGAGGTAAATTGCGCGACCTTAAACCTCGTGTTGAACTTGAGTGCCCATTTATTTGCTTTATAAGTTTAAAATATTAGAAAATCATGGGAATGAAGATTAATTTCAGTTCGGTTCATTTTAGAAACTGGTAATTTACGTGTGCGAGGGGAGGGGTCACTGCTAAAATTGGGTGCATGCACCATTAAATCATATGCAAAATCACGTGAATCATTAAAACCGGTGAATCCCATCAACTTCAACGATTCAGTGGACGTTGGATCCATATGGACTGTCATATACCCAAGATTAGTTGGGAGTTTGAAAAATCTTGATGAAACGCCTTTTCATAAGTTATTTAAACTTGTTTTTCCCTATTCGAGAATAGAACCATCGCAATCCTCCCATATTAAGAGGAGTCATGAATGCCATATTACTAGCTTTACTTATATGGCTGTGAGGGATTTTCTTTTAGATCTCATAATAGTAGTCAAAGCATTTACTGTCTATAATATGCGAAATTATGTATATAAAGCGTTGTGCATGCGACAACATTTAGATAATTTACATTTTACTTTTTTACAAGGAAGATCAAAAGCATATGGAATAATAACAAAACACCCGCTTACCTAGCTTTTGAGAGTTATGGACGCTCTTTCCGAGAATGCTGTGGTGGCACACCTCAAAAAGGCTTCTGTCCCTTTTATTTTTTAATTCTTCTGTTTCTAGCTTTATTGTTAATTTACGTCAACCCTTTTCATTATATGAGCCGTTAATCATTTGGATTTTCGAGCATATGAAGTTTAGTGGTATGCATGGATTATGTGGAATGCAATATTAGTCGAGTGTGATGGCATATCTAAGATCAAGATCGATAAATGAATTATTACGGTGCGTCGAGTCCGGTGGCCTGAGTTGGTACGTAGGAGAGAATGGAGAGAAAGCAAGGGCGGTGATCGAGAAGGACAAAGTGTGTCTAATGGTCGTGCTGATACCGCGAAACACATATGGTTTACTGATTTTTGCTGTAACCGTGTACATGTTTAGATTGATAGAAAGGGCAATGTCTTCCGTGATGTAGCTAGCAAGGATCACCTAGAGGGGGGTGAATAGGTGATCTAAAACAATTTTTAGTAATTTATGCGGAAACAAAATAAATCACAGAAGAGTCTGAATAAAATTCAGATTCAAGACAGATTATATAGATGGTGCTCTTGATGTGCAGAATGTAAAGTAAGAGATAAGGGATAGAGAATCTGCACACAAGTTTATAGTGGTTCGGCTTATAGCAAGCCTACGTCCACTCTCCCACGCTTACAGCCTACTGGCTGGATTTCACTATGTAATCAAGAGGAATTACAACTTCTGAGTGTTAACACTCTTGTGTATGATAGGACTCTCTATCTCACACAATCACTCTTACAAAGTGTTCCTCAAGATCTTAATATTTGGCTCAGAATGACAAGAGAAAAATGATTGGATTAAGCTCGGACTTTGGACTTGTTGATTCTTGATTCGTACTACCTTCTCGCTGCTCGTTGATCTCCTTAAATACTCCTCTCGCTTCCAAACTAGCCGTTGGACAGCTTTCGGAGGATCATCTTCCAATCTTTACCTTGGACAGATTTGTATAGTAAGGATTGAGTAGCCGTTGGTTGACAGATTCTCTGAATCCCGCTGATTCTCGGTTGCCCATACAATCGAATCTTGGTTTCCATAAGTAGAACTTTGTCCGTTGTAATGCATTCTTGTCATGATGTTTGATTGTCAATCAATTTGATTCAGATTGAGACAATCAGAACATTCCTTCTGTGAAATCCATGCTAGATCACTAGCTGTTGTGTTACGTTCTGAATTCTGCGTCTGAAGATATTCTGTGTCCGCATCGGGAAGAACTCCTGCGTCAAGTGCTCGAAGAATTTCTGCGTCTCGAATAATTTCTTCTGCGTCGACGAATTTCTTCGTCCGAATAATTTCTTCGTCGCATCTCGCATCGAATAACTCTCGCATCCGCATCGAATAACTTCGCTTCGAATCTCGAACTTCGATTATGTGGGTCTTCAAAAATATATTGATGATTGTAAAGTCTCGAATAACTTTCTTCCGAGCTTCGATAATATACGGCACGGAATAGTTCGGAATAAGTATCGATTTACAATAACATAGAAGGTTTTGTCAACTTCAAAATTAATAGGAGTTTTCCTCAACAATCTCCCCCTTTTGATGGTGACAAAACTTTCTTTGCAAGATTGAATTATTTTAAACATATTAAGCTCAATAAACACTGATTGAAATAGCAAACTCGTTGATATACGTGTCTTTCTTCCTTTGAGAATAACCCGTAAATCGCAATATGATTTCTCCCCCTTTTGTCATCAACAAAAAGAATAGTAATAGATAGAATAATGCATTGATATTAAGTAATCAATCGCCTAACAATAAGTATGAGAAATATTACGGACCAATTGAAAAAAATAGAGAGAAATGTTGAAAAAAGGCTATTTTTTAGGAGTACGAATCGATTGAAAATTTTCCAATATTGAGACAGCCTTCTCAATCTTCGAACCGCATTGACCTATGGCTTTATCCATGCTTGGAT